GTGAGGTGGTGCTGACCGAGGGGTCCTCAGTTGCACCCTCACCGCGCTTCGTCTAGGCTTGGATGACCTTTGCTTCTTTCGGATCAAATAACACCGAAGGAGTGCTGTAGACGGGTGATTTCTTCCGAGGGACTATCTCTATTTGAGGGAATCGGATACCTGGTTTTGGCTCCCACGGAACCCCGTAGCGAACTTCCCATGGAACGAGTTTTTTATCGAAACCACCGTGTCGACCTGCATAGATGTGTCTATATACCGCGAAGTACGACATCACGATTCATACGTTGATTGAGGAATGATAAATACTTCATGCAGGTGTTTGTTTTGCGAAGCAACTTTGATATCTCCATCAAACAGTATGCCAAGAGACGTGGAAGGTTTAAGCGTGACCCTAAAAAGCAGCAAGCACATCGTACGATGAGTAACAACGAAACGCTTGCAAAACTGTCAAACGAATTGGTTAACAATCTTTTCGACCAAAAATGCCTCATGGAAATAGCAGTCGTCCATGTGGACCGACGTATAAGACCGACTATAAGACTCAAACGTGGAAAGGGGGGCAGTCTTTGTCACGTGACCTCCGGCGGGCGTGAGCTGAGGACTCTGAGTTCCCAGATGATTCTGTCCGAGTTAGTGTCGGCTTTTGGCAATAGTTTGAAAGCTGTTCTGAGGTCACTACACAACTGCCGACGTGCAGCAACTACCAGGAAATGACGAAGTTGGGTTATCGGTTTCAACAAGTGAACTTACTGTTCCAGTTTAATTCCCTCAAATAACGACTTCCTAACCAAGTGCAGTGAAATCACAGAAGGGTTGGATGGGGATATTCCACCTTTTCTGTCTCTGCCTGTATGCTCCCCTAACAATATCCGATAGCTCTAACGTGATTGGTTGGCCACTAGTTGGCTTGCGCACAATTTAACTGGTCAACATGTAGTCTGGGTTGTGTTGTGGTCTCACTGCTCGGCGTCTGGCTTGTTCGTTTTCTTCAGCTTGACAGCCCTGTCCCTGGGTTTTTATTGGTCCGCTTCATTCTCGCCTTGTATTCTGGGTTTTTTCCACTCAATTGGATGTCCTGTTCTTAGTAGTTTTCTACCTATGGTTACTGTTTTGCTATTTGTTCCCCCCACGCGTTTCAGAGTCTGGAATAGTGCGTTTCTTTTGTTCTCAGAGGTTGGTAGATTTGGTGGATGTCAGTGTGTTAATTAATTGATTTTCCCATAGAGTACGATGCCTCCTGTTTTGTTCTTGCGTGAGCAACTATCTGGTTGCATGAACCCTAAGCTCAGTTAGCTTGTCCCAAGATTGCGTTGAACTCTCATATGGAGCTAATTAAACACAAAAGTAGTCGGTATTCCAGCATGCCAAACTTTCAACTGGTTTATGTTAAATCTTGTTTTATCAGGCTGAAATACATTTATTTCCACAAGAGGCAACCATGTCCATATCGATTCATCAACAAACTCACTCATCTGCGAATTTTGAAGGCTTTTCGACCAGATGTGACCCTACTCACTGAGCATTTTCTCAGTTTCCCAAGTGTTGGTTTGTCCATCACCAACATGGAACTGGTCGGTTTGGTTCACCACATGCATCACTCAAGAGAGAACGCTGCAGGATAATGTGACACTTGGCTCCTTCAGAGGGAACCAACAAACTCCGTGGCATGCTCAAACAAAGCAGCTAGAATTTCCACGCACCCAAAGTCAATGATAACAATTGAAAGAACTCGAGAGTAGGGCCAAAACTGTCATTCGGTGTGAATTGCCTACTTACATCAGGGGCATTAGTGAAAAAGGACATCTCATGACGCCGTGCTTATAAAATAAGCAACAGAAGGCCAACTACATTATGTATGTATTTTTTACTGTTTACAAAAGCAGGCTGATATTAACTCGCTTGAATGTATCATCTAACCAGAGGTCTTTGCATACAGCGTGAAAAAATGCTCACATTAGTCTGCCACTAATTGATAAACTATTTTGTTAAATTCCACGGACCAGGCAAATTATACCACACCGTCAACCAACCAGTCATCAGGTATAAACCGTGCGCCATAGGCACATTGGTTCCAGCTGCTACAGTTTCGATCACCGGGAGTGTGGGACATATAACCAAGCCTTGAAGGCAAGAACATGTTCAGTTTGTTCGGAAATTGGGTAGCTAGGCATTGAAGGTGATAGCTTCGATGCACGAGTGCCAGTGACCGCGCGATTGGGCCTTTTCCGCCAATGTCATTAACCACTGGTGTCCCGGGGTCCCCACCCAGGGAGGCGGAAGTTGCCCACCTGACTGGGTTTACCAGTTAGCGTTTTCGTACTTCGTTGCCAGTTTGCGATAATGGCCTACTGACAGCCATGGGCCGTCATGAACCGCACTATCTTCCATTCAATGCACTTTCCTTGAATCTCAGAACTTTCGACCAATTTCACTAAGCCGCAATGGTTAGGGTGAATTTATGCGTTCAGTGTATCTGTTCAAATGTCTCCGTACTGCGCCAGTGGTTAAGGCGCTGCCTAGAAGGTTTGGTTCGAACTCTGTTCTTGTCTAGACATGGGTAACCTGGCAGTATTTCAGCCCTTGTGCTTCCTTCAGGTGGCATTTCATCTAAACACCGAAATAGTTCTGCAGCCGTACGGTTATGATTTATTGCTGTTATGCTACACCAAACCCGATCCTGAAGTTGCTTGGTGTAGCCTCTGTCCTTGGGAGTGCTGTTTACCTATCCGCCTTAGATCGATTTAGTAAATAATAATAATCGTTCAGCTGTGGCACCCTTTCGGTACCTAGCTCCCATGTCACACGAGGGCTGAGATACTTTTAGGTTGCCCAAGCCTAGACAGGGGAAGTCAAGACATAGAGGTCGGATTGGAACCACGGAAGATCAATTTAGTAGCACTCGATGCATCACGCTTAACGATTAACCTGGTTGATCGTGCTCTTCCGGTTGCAATGCGTGAGGGTATGTGCCCATGCATTTTATCATAAAAGTTGAGGCAGCTGCAAGTATTTTTTCAAGTTGGCTGCACCCATAATGATGCTGTGCTACTCTAACCCGCCATCAGCTCCTCGAGGCTCGCGATCGTCGTGTGATTTTTATAGTTTGATATCCCTGAGGTTGTCTGGAGCTTTAAAAAATCGCCTTCCTATGGGTGGTCTCTTTTACCGAAAACTCAGCAAGTCGTTAGGTCCACAAAGTGCCTTGCGCAAAATAGTCAGGCAAGCCTGTGGCACGTGATTTTAACAAATGGCTCATCAAAATTCATGGTATGTAGATCTGACGTAGCTGGTTTGGAGATCTTTCGTGGCGCGCCTGATAAACAGCTGTTGGGGCCAGCTCGACTGAATTTCTATTTTGACGCTCTCTGACATAAAGTTGGTCCCCAAATTCAGCTATGCAGATATTCAAACTGTCCACTTTTTTGCAGTCAATGAAGGGTCGACTGCAACCCTAAGAAAACATCGCTGATTCTGCTTCGTCCCTGTCTCATCAGGTGGGTGTTCCAGGATCTCTAGGTACTTGTGATCTCACAAAATATTCTCACTACTTGCTTATCATTAGTAGTTCAAAATGAAGCTACGTGAAATGCCGTCTCTTATGGAAGTCCACTTGGTCACCAGCGGTGCAAAATTGCAGTGGTTCCCGAAATCTCCATCTGAAAATTTCGCTGGTTTACTATTCGCGATACAGTCTTCCTCTTGCATTACGTGGATATGCACAGTAAAGCAGATTGTCCGATGATGGTGTAAGACACCATGCAGGTTAAGAGAAATCCCCTCAAAAAGGTCCATTCTCCTAGATGCGCACAACACAGCCCCGGTACATCTGCTGTGGGAGAGACCACACCCAGGAGAGGTCCAGCTTCCCGTCCTCCTGCCTTCAGAGAGTTTTTGCATGCAAAATAACTTGCTTAGATGGGTCGAAAGCAGCTTGTTGATATCGTACATACACCCCCACTCAGAAAAATATTAGATTCTCAAGCCTGGGTACAGAGAAATTGATCCGCTAAATACCAC